TGTCTATCCATCTCTCTCTTCCTGCATGCAGAGGGCAATGTCTCACGGTTTATCTCTTCCCGAACACAATGCACCCTGGCAGTGCACGTATACAAGCGCACTTTGTGGTACAGTTCAGCCATAACGAGGGTGGGTTATGTTCCGGGCTTTCGTGCGTTCGCTTGAAGCAAGCAGCGGGATTTCATCTGTGCCTGCCCATGAGCTAAACCCGGTAGGCTGTTTTGGCTTTCAGGGGCCTGTTAGCCCCAGTCCCTCTGAGAGTCTGAACCTGAGCTTGGCTATGGTAATCGTTGATTTTGAAAATTGAAGTGACAGGACAGATGGAGTGGTGTTTGAAACGGCAAAGGAAACGGCAAAAAAAACGAGCAGCCGAGGGCTCCCTTTGGGCTGGCGTGGCTAGCCGTTTCCCTCTGGCGGCTGAGCTTTGGAAGTTCTTTGGAAAAATGGCTGGGACACCAAGTGGTGGTTTAAGCTCTGTGAGCCTCTTTCTGCTCTTCAAGCAGATGCATGGTGGAAATTGTAGCCAACTGGATGGACGGTGTTGTAGTCATATGCGCAAGCACTGCCTTTCTCCAAAAGCCACACCCAGTAATGTGCACCTGCGCGTCTTTTTTTTCTTTGTCGATGTTGGGGGATGAGCCCTGCTGGGGGCAGTTGAGTCTAGTCTCTTTCCTTTCCTGGAACGGGTTTGGGGGTCTGTCTGCCCATCTGTTTGTATACAAATATGGATGCAAGCAGTGCCGAACTACTGAAGCGAAGGCCCTCCACATGTCGGTGGGGACTGCTTATGGGAGCTGGTGCTCTCTGTAAATGAAGGGAAGCAGCATTGGCTGACAATTTGAACCACCACAGCCAACTACAAGAGATGGCTGACTTCAGTCCATTCGTTGTTTGCATGAGGTGGGCAGAGACAGACAAATGGGCAGATACTAGCGCAATAGACAAAGTTAACCAGAAAACTTAAACCACCCATATTTTGGCCCGGCTATGGATGAGGAGTCGGGAAGCACTCTGGGGGCCAAGTCGGGTGGCCCGGCTATCGATGACGAGTTGGGAAGCACTCTGGGGCCCAAGTTCTGCCTAACCGCTAGCGCGCCTTTTTGTGTTGTTTTAGGCAGGTGCCTCCAGCCATTGTGGTCCGGTATCGTGAAGCCCGCAGGTTGCAGCATGGTAATGTCAAATTGTCAAATGCGCGCAGTCGATGTACGAAGGGCCAAGTTGTACTAGGACATCAAATTTTTGATTTGTGGTAGGAATCTCATTATACACCAAAACGAGCAGAATTGAGTTGAAAGTAGAATGACAAAGCCGAGAGGGCAGCAATGGGAGGACGCACCGAACACTGGAGTCTCTTGACAGTAAAAACCTCGGAGGAAGTGTCGGACACATCGGTTAGGTGGTATGATATATATAATGTACTATAATGGGAGGACATGGATAGAAGGGGATAGAACAAAGTAATAGGTAATGGCTGTAGATATGGAAAAGCTGAGGGGTATACCAGTAAACCAGGAGATGACAGGCACCACAAATACTTCGAACTCAGAATGGATCTCTTATCCGTAAAACCATAGTGGCTATCATTTACAGAAGTTACTGCGGTATAGTTACTGCGGTGTAGATAACAGTAAGAATCCTTAGAATCGATGTGTTATCCGTAAAGCCAAGTTTTTTAATCAACGCCGTCTACAGCTGCTACCATGAGGTGTTTTTCAGCTTTGCCTGGGCATGAACTCTACCATTCTGTAACCTTGCCATTTTCCTACGGTAATAACCCTGCTCTGCCATAGTGGCTGTCTTTTTCAGTCACCACAAATAGCAAGGATGGGTGTGTTATCCGTAAAGCCAGGCTTTTTTAATCAATGCCGCCTGCTGCCACTACCATGAGCTGTTTCGCAGCAATTCCTTTGGTGGTGAAATCTTTAGCACAGTTACTGCAGTAACTTGCCATTTCTGCACTGACTTCCCTTTACGAGTGAGGAGTGAGGAGTGAGGTTTCTGTGGGTGTCAGCCAATCATCTCTAACAGCTCCAACCTGCACCCTCCAGGTCATGCCCAAATCCCTTTGGGGAACATTTCTTTGCCTTTAAGAGGTTTAATTTATTCTCTCAATCTAGGCTACCAGAGTGGCCGGGGTCCACTTGCCCGGCCGGGCGAAAAAATAAAAAATAAATAAAATAAAGTAGAATAATTTTTTATTTTAAATTTGTATTTTAAACTTGGCAAAGAAATGCGATGTGACCCTGAGGCAGAAGTTGTTCAGTTTATTTCTCTGCATAACATGTTTTTTTTTCGGATTTTTTGGATTTTTTTTTTTTTTCTTTGGCTGGGAGCTTCCCAATTCCTTGCACGGCCGAGCCGCCCGGGAAAAGAGGGTGACCCGGGCGGTCCGGCTGGCAGCCTAACTGAGGCTAGCTCTCACTTTCCTTGGATTGTGCGCAATCCGGGTGGTACTTTGCAATCTTGGTACACTCTGCAATCTTCGTAACCATTAAGAGATTAACTAGGGAGGTATCTAGGAATATTCCTTGGGTTGTGCAAAGGTGCGAGACTGCTTGGCATTTACACTGCGCTGCAAACTTGGTAATCACAACGTGATTAACCAACTTAACTAGAAATATTTCGAGCTATTTTGAACATGTCTTTCAGGCAGGAAAGGACGGGTGTTGCACTAGTCGCAAATTGAAAGGGATCCGGTACCTGGTCGTGAAGCCTGCCTTTTGCCCATCTTTGAGAGACAGTTTGCGCTGTTTGTAATAAGCCGTCATATATCAATTTTGGAAAAGACGTTGCAGGCTCCAGCGGGGTCCAGCCCACAGCCCATCCAACAGATCGTCTACGAGGGCGACGACATCTGCATCTGCATCCTTAGCTCTTCCGAGTGTCTGACCTTATGTCAATGTGATTCTTGACTCGCTTGTCTACTAACTTCGCATTCCTCTTGCGCATCTGCAAACTCTGCTAATGTGTGATTCACCAACATACTATATTCCCCTCGACGCCTCTTGTGCATGTACCAAGAAGAGAAAGGTACACTCGAAAACAAAAACACAACATGTTTCGGGCTGGAGAAAACAATAAAAACAAGGCCGGACCTTGTTCCGAGGGTGAGAACTGTCCAGTTTTTATAAAGAAAAATCTATATTCTCATGCTGCTTTGAAAAGTGATCTACTTTTTTATGATGCTCTCCATGGTAAAAGCAACACTACACAGCCACCTGGCCCCCCCAGTCCTGGCACCTTGAATTCCAGAGGCCTTGAAACGTGATGCTGGTCATTGATAAACTATTAAACTTCATGAACGGCACGCAGTCCCCAAAAATATGGCTGCTACATAGGCTACCAGCCGGGTCGCCCGGGTCCCGGGTGGCCAGCGCATCCAAGGACCAGGGAAGGTCCCAGTGGGGGAAAAAAAAAAAAAAAAAATCAAAAAAATCCGAAAACAAACTACGTTATGTAGAAAAAGAAACCGAACAACGTTTGCCTCAGGGTCACATCGAAATTCTGCACCACATTTAGGGGGGGGGGAAAAAAAAAAATGTTTTCAACCCGGCCGGGCAAGTGACCCCGGGCAACTCTGGTAGCCTAGGGTGCTATTTATTAGTGGCGACAAGTTTTTCCCCCCTGCAAGGCGGGGACAACGTACTGGAGGTTTGGCACGATGAAGGGATGAGGCAGGCACATGCACGGGTTGCTGCATAGCTTAGAATTGTGTTTTTGAAACCACCCAAATAAAAGCAAGACCAAAAGCAAGACCACTGTTGAGATTTCCTGTTTTACAAGTACTTTTCATAGATTA